AATTGTATTTAATACAAAAATATTTGGTCAGGTTTTTCAGTTTGTGTGGTACTTGTCAACTGAATAAAGTAAAATACAATCTCTTGTAAAAATTGGAGGAACACTGAATATAAACTTTGTACTCTGGAGATGATGATTTTTATGCAACAGATCGCTCTGTCTGCTGGTTTTAGTATTGTTTGCTCCTCGCAGTTTATCAAGCTGAAAGCTGATCCATGTCTGGGCACATCACTTACTGAGCAGAACACCTATTCACACTCAAACAAGCGGTGCTCTAATTTCAACTTGTAGCTTCAGAGGGATTTTTCTACAGTAAACTGCAAGAATCACCTGTTAAATGTGAGATATTACACAGGTTCTTCTAGTAACCAAAAAAAGAAAAATAAATAAAATTTAAAAGACAAAATGCTAGAAGATACATTTATATAAGTGTCTTGGTTGAGCTTAACATGTCCAGGAGATCTGCCACAGTCCAGCAGTTTTGATGTTTTCATTTATTAGCCAACACTACCCTCTAGTGGTAAATTGGGAACAAGAAACTAGAACAGCATTGACTAATAATCAGAGCAGATCATTTCCATTATAGGTTTTGAAAAAATATATTCAAACATTTTCTTTTTTTTTTTACCTTTTTAAAATAAAAACCTGATGACCATATTTGTTTTTTTCTTTCACAAAGTAAAAAAATTACTTTTTTTAAAAATCTGAATATATGCACGCACTACAGCTAATATGTGTATATTTGCCTCTCAGGAAGCTGTAGAGAAATCGAACACTATATGGGCATCAAAAAGCCGTTGCATAAATCTAGCACTATATTTAATCACTCTTGGTGATAGAAATGATAACGCTAATTCCAAATGGTTGGTTTCAAACATGGCTTTTAAGGACACTCTTTTATTTTTTACATGATTAAGTTCAGGGTGATTAATGAAGCTTAATATCCTGCTTTATCTTCTACAAAGCTGGAGTTAAAGAGGGATTGTAATACTTAACGGAGTCAAGGTTTAAGCCATTTCTGCACTAATATTAGGTCACATTAAAAATGTATGAGAACAGCTTAACAGTACCATTGGCACTCCTTTTAGACGAGCCATTACCTTTGGATAATCTTAATTTATGCTAAATGGGAATGCAAGAGAGTCATCTGCGGCTGTGAAAAAATAGTGAATGCTTATTAATGTTTAGAAAAAAATAATTTCACAATCCCTAACAATCAATTTAATGTATTATTGGTCCAACTGTTTGGACAGATTTATTTAACTCCAGCTCTTTTGATTTCCTTTGTTTAATTTTTGCTTTTCAGTGCTGAAAAAATACGAACCTGGAATTACTCAAAACTATCAAAATCTTAAGTTACCACAATTTTACCACTTGTTCAGCTCAAAAACTAAAATAAATGTATCAATTAAGAAGAGAAAATAGAATAACACGACAGGCAAATCCAACAGGTTTTTATAACCTTTTAAACTTATAACCTTTTAAGCTTTAAACATTTTATCATTTTACAGAACTCGGTTTATCTCACGAGGATTAAAAAATACAAAAAAAAAAAACATATGTATATGGGAGAAGGAAATTTTAATCTTAGCATTAAAAAAAATTGAAATCTGTTTGTTGAGGTAAAAACCTGAGAAGCATCATCGTCACTAAATTTCCAGATTTAAATCCAATTAAAATCAAACTTCTTTGTATTGATAACAAAATCCTAAAAAAAATTTTTAAAAAGGCAGGATTGTTATGTGACAAACTGCTAAATAAGTCCAATGGTTATAAATGATTGATTATAAATAAGTACAATTAACTGTATAACTAGAGATTAAGTGCTTTACTTATATGTTGGCCAAAACCTGGCATATACTGGAAAGCAATCGGCATTTGCTGGCAGGCATTTCCAATTGTTGCAGTCTGGAAGTTTTGACCATTTACTATAGTGTGTACAGTGTCCGTCCTCATTTTCTGCCACACTGAGCAATAGGGCTAAATGTGTTACCTTGGGAACCAGCCAGAGCAATGAAGTGAACGTTCCTAAGAGAGAGCAGGGATGATTACTGACTGGAAAGAACTGAAGGTCACAGGTGACGGCATTGCTGGGAGTCTGAACACACCAGTCTTCTTAAAGATAAGCCCAGCTTACACATCTGCTGATTAAGCATACACATTCTGCATCTTTTATTATTTAGCTGGCCATTCGATACACAAAAGGCATTTGCCTTTCCCTTCCTGATTTATTCTTTCATTAAACAAATTGAAATATAAGATAAAGATGATTTGATTATTCCAACAACCTTTCTCAAATGTTAATTTCATGTATTAGGTTGAAAACAGCTGGCCCTTCATTAAAGCATTTCGATTTAAAGCCACATGCAGACCTGATTACAGCAGGACCTATAGAATTAGAGCTAACCAACAATGACTTGTTTTGCTAATAGACTCCTTACATGGTGGTCTTATAGGGCTGTCTACATTTATAGCAATTGACAATTTACTGCAAATTTGTTCAAATCCTGCATGTGTCTAAAACTGCATGTGTGGCGCCCCCTCGTGTTTAAAGAGTGTACTGTTTTTTGTTGGGTTTTTTTATCAGTTTTGGTATGGTCTCAAGCGATATTAATTTATTTTTCAAATATCAGACATTGGCCGAGTTAGGCTCTGCTATGGATAGTATAACAATTTTTAACAGAACCTGTCTGACAACATGAAGTAGGCCAAAAGATCTCCAGAAGCAACAGAGACAGCACACTACTCGCGTTTGATCTAACTACATTGACTTACTGTTCTTTTCAGGGTTTAAAACTCTATTGGTTATAAAATATCTTTATGGTCTTGCTCCAGCATACGTCTGAAAGTGTCAGAAATTGTCCTGCCCTTTCACAACCCCTCAGGCTGGTAAAAAGAGACCTTTGAGCCCCAGTTGGCCTCGGCAGACTGGCACACTGGTTCTGCTGGAGGTTTCTTCCCGTTAAAAGAGAGTTTTCCTCTCCATTGTCGCTACCTACATGCTTCGTGTGAGGGGTTGCCTTTGAGTCAATGAGTCAATGCAATCAGCTCGTTTTTACAATAGAATAGAAAAGAATAGAATAGAAAATTAATTTATTGTCCCACAATGGGGAAATTCCTTAGATAGAAAACTTTTAATCAATTTAACTGTATGATCTGGTTGAATTGTGTTTGTAAAGTGCCTTGAGATGACAGGTGTTGTGAACTGGTGCTATATAAATAAATTGAATTGAATTTAAATTGAATTTTAAGAGGGGACCACAAGAGACTGTCTGCCATTACACAATAAACAAGACTTTACATGTGATGCTAATTTTCAAAATCTGCTTTTTGAAAAAAGAAATATTTTTACATCGGCCTCTGATCCAGCACGAGATAAATAAAATAATTTCTTTATTTTCATTTTATTATTTTTCATATCATATTTTTTGTGTGTTCTCTTTGTATTTAAAAGAAGAGCTAACATGGTGGTTAGAGCAGGGAGCTTGGGTTATGGGAAAACTACAAGATTCCTAGTTTCAATCCCACAGACTAGAGTAAACCCCCAGAATGCTTCGTAGGTGCTGCACAGTAAAAGTGTATCACCCCCCAAATTGAGGGGTTAGATACAGAGAACACATTTCAATGAAATATATAATTGTAATCTCAAATAAAGACTTTGTTATTTTGTAAATTCTTTTGTGTGTTATATGTTCAAGGCTTTTATCAATTGAGCTGTTTTTGAAAGGATGATTAATAAAGTGGGTTTGGCTCTCAAAGTTGGTCCTCGGTGCTTCAGCAACTCATCCAGGTGTCACAGTCTTGGTTTTGTTATGTTTATTTTGAGTATTCAGCTTTGCTTTGCTTCTTGTCTTTGTGTTTAATTATTATTTTCTTGTTAGTTCCTGTCTTCCTGGTTTTCCATTTATTGTCCTCTGCTGCCCTCTTGTGTCCTCTTTCCCTAGCTCTGTTTTCTGCTCTGTCCTCACCTGTTTTCAATCATCTTGTTAGCCCTCTCTTTGTCTCTGTCCCCTTTAAACGCCCTCCCTCTTCAGTTCCCGTTTGCTGGATCCTCGTCTAACGTCTGTCTGCTTACCTCGTCTCTCCCTGGCTCCTAGAGTTTGGTTTCCCCTGATGTCTCCTTGGTTCTGGTTTGTTTTTGTTGGATTTTTGATTCCTGCCTCCGTACCTGAGAACCTCATTAAACCCACCTAAATTCACCTCTGCCAACTTGCCTCTGCATTTGGGTCCTGCAACCCAACACCAAATCCTGACACCAGGAAGTTAATTATTTAACTATAACAACAATGCTGGGCATAAAGGTAGTTAAGGTCAGAGCTTCTGTGCACTGTACCTAACTTTAAATAAAAATATGTATTCTGATATTTAAACATGGTGGTAGTAGTGTGATGGTCTGTGATTTATTCTTTAAGTAGCAGGAACCAAGGATTTTGCTTTCTAGCATAAAAATAAAATGTCAGATCATCAGTTTCTGACCTAAAGCTCTGATGTATTTTCCTCTGCAGCACAGCAATGATGCACCAATAAATCATCCTCTAACAGGCTAAAAAGGAAGGTTCTGGAGCATTTTGTCAAATTCTGGAATTGAATCTGATTGAAGTGCTCTGATATGGCGATAAACTTAGAAACCCTTGAATGCAGCTTGAACCAAATTATTCTCAAAGAAGTGAATCAGTGCTTCCTCACCACTGATTTGACAGACTGGAATTTAAAAAAAGTGCAACCATTCATTAGGAGTAGAACCAATTACTATTCTACCAGCTGATTTAGATATTTTTCTTTATTGTTATAACTTCTGAAATCATCGTTAGAAAATGTGACAAAAAAGGAAAGCAGAAGAAGTCTGTAAATCGGCACATACTTGTTCATGCCACGTTTTAGCATTTTGAAACCCTGAAGTGTATAAAAATATATCTTAAGATCAAACAGTGCTACATTTCAAAGTTTTTAAGTATATTTGAGGGTTTAATCTGTTCTGAAAGCCACAAAAGCCTCCTGGGTCAGAGTGACTTCCGTCTGATGTGAAGGTTGTTTTTCTTCCAACAGAGAGCTACAGCGCCGGGTGATGAAACAGTGTGAGAACTGCAGGAGACTTGGTCAACCCTGTAGGAGATGGAGGTGTAAAAAACAGGGTTGCTGTGGCCACATGTGTGTTCATGCTGCAGTTCGGTGGTGCTGCCACAAACATCCAGCCCACAGCACATGCAGGAGAACAGCTCCCTGAGTCTGCTGTGCTTAGGAGGCTCAGAACGTTCACACTCAATGAGTCTTAGGTCGTCTGTAGGAGAGGAGACCAGACTTGCACAGCTGCCGCCAGCCTCCAGTGGTAGGTTAAGGTTGAACCGGCTTTCATCTGCATCAGCTGTACGTCTTACCTCGACCAACTCTGCCTGTGCATTATCCGGTGCTTCCTCCTCCCCCTGCAGCTCCTTGGGTTCTAAAAGCTCCTCCTCTACACTTTCATCAGTACTTGCATCAGAATTCACGGTTAGAAACCTCAACACAACCAGGTTGAGAAATGCTCCGGTGACCATCAGTCCAACCAAGATGTACAGGAAGCAAAAGGCCACATAGGGCGATCGCTTCTGGAGGGCATCTTTCTTCTTCAGGGCAACAAAGTCCCCGAAGCCGATGGTTGTGAGCGTGACAAAGCAGTAGTAGTAGGCATTAAAGAAGCTCCAGTCCTCAAAGTGAGAAAAGGCTGCAGCTCCAATGCACAGGGTGCTAACACAGGACAGCAGACCCACCAGCACCATGTTTCCCATGGACACGTCCGTCTTCCTGAAGCCAAGCCCCTGCTTGGCTCTGCGCAGAAGATATCGGACAAAAGTGTTGATCCTCTCACCCAGACTCTGGAACATGACCAGAGTCAGAGGTATTCCCAAGACTGCATAAAACATGCAGAAGGTCTTGCCAGCATCGGTGCGAGGAGCAACATGGCCATAGCCTGAAAAATCACAATATACTGTGAATTAATAACTGAGAGGATATAAGTGCTTATGTTAATATCAAAAAGGTGCACTGGCTTCCTTCTTACTAATGGGACTAAACAGGGCTCTAGTTTCTGTTCTTTACTCTTTTTTTTTTACATTAAAATAAAATACAAAAGTTTCGTTCATTTGCTGGTGAAGATTCCCAGTCATACAGGTCATCGTCATTTAAAAAAAAAATTTAACTGACGAAAGGGGTCCACCCCCTTGGATTGGAATTGGGTTAATTTGTTTTAATCCTTTTAAAGTGATATACCCACTTGTCTCTGTTAACCTTAGAGGTTTAAAGCATCGTTAGGTCATAAAACAATAACTGAAATCTAAAACATTTCTCAAAGCACTCCTTAATCCATCTTTAAAAAAAAAGAAGGTGTAACTATATGGCATACAGTTATATATATGGCTATATGTAACTGTATGGTGTAACTTGGGATGGCAGGAAGCCTATAACTCCAGGTGAGCAGCACAGATCAACTGCTCAGGTGGGAAGTATTGATCCAAAACACATACTAAAGGTTTCAAAACTTGAGATTATTAAAATCTTGAGATTAAAACAGAGATTAAACTTTCTGCTGGAATACAACCCACAGCCAGAACTCCAGTGGAATTATTCAGCTCAAAGCTCCGTCAGACCAGCAGCAGAGTGGCATTTAAATGTACATGTTCATATTTTACAAATTGCGTATAAAATTCTTTCCCCTATAAGTTCTTTGAGTTGATCAATCTAAAAATACAAATCTTAATAAACCAGACAAATTTGTTGTTGATATTTGACAGTCTATCTTGCCTGAGGGGAAAATCCTGAGGAAAACAACAAATTTTATACACTCATAGTAAGTTAAATATAATATTAACAATATTAGTATTTGAATTATCAAACGTCCCCCAAAGCAAATAAGGTATACAAAATTATACAAATCTGAAAACAAGTCTTCCTGTAGCTTCATGATAAAACAGAATTTTATGTTCAATTAGTGCAGCTTCATGCGCTTGACTTATTCGTAACATCCTCACAATCTGTTTCACTAAGTGAAGTTTAAGTTGTTTCTGTCTGAGAGATATCCAAAGTAAGTGCCACCTGATAACTGATTTCACCATCCCTGGCAACAACATCCGCTGTCAATCAATAATGACTTTTCACATCCAAGTGTAGAAATTTTGGAAAACAATTCATTTGTGTGGGGTTTTATTGCAGCAGTATTTGAGGGTTGTTACCACAAACAGCCTGTTGACGTCTTGCATCTCTATTGGATTTAAGTTTGGCCTTTGACTAGGCCACTAAGCCCTTTTTTAATATATATAATAAAAAGGTAGATGTGTGGGTGTGTCTTGACTCATTTTAAGAGATAAAGAAATAATTAACATGAATTTTAAATGAAATTGTGAACAATGACGTTTGGTAAATACAAAATGTTGTTTTTGCAAAGAGAACGTTTTTTTATTACCTTTTTGTTGTAAATGAGCAGAATATAGAAAGCTATGTAGGATATTCTAAAAAAAAAAGGGATGTCAGACCCCATTTGACATGGGGCCACTTCAACATTAGAAGGTCCTTAAAGGGCCGGATGTGACAGCATAAATTGAACTTTTGACTTAATAATTTAATTTAAAAAGAACCGAAGTTTTGTAAAAATTGTATTTCTTGGATGTCTCGTTTTTTTTTTTGTTGTTGTTGTTGTTTTGTTTTTACTTTTTTGTTTTGTTTTGTTTTTTTCAGGGAGGATTATTCGATTTTTTTTTTATTATTTTTTTTTCTTTACTTTCAGTTTAAGGACTTTCGAGCAATTAATTTAACGAACACGTTTGGCTTTTTTCAACTTTAACAGCTGTCAGAATAAAATAGTTAAAACGCAGGATCTTTCAGAGAGAGAAAGCCTGGTAGACAATAGAAAGCGCTCCTATGAGGTGAGTTCCTACCTATAGTGGTGATGACGGTAATGGCAAAATAAAAAGAGCCGGTGAACTTCCACTGCTTCCCGCCGCGGTGCGGCTCCGACTGCAGGATGACTCTCTCCATCTCCCGGTAGTCCTCCTCTTTGAAGCCGTACTTTCTCTTCAGCTCGCTCAGTTTCTGCTCCAGGGCTCTTTTCCTGGAGCTCTCGCTCTCCGTCTCCAGCGCGTCGAACACGGCGGCTCCGATCAGCAGGTAGAGGAGCACGGAGAGGATGAGGAAGAGAGTCCTGATGTTCTGGCTCTTCATTCTAATAGAGAGCTGCTGCTGCTGCTGACGGTGATGATCCTCAAAGGCAGAAACCCATCTTGCAGGATTAAAGTGTCTGAGCGCCTTCAGCATTCAGGATTGGGGTAGAAGCTGTGATGTAAAATCTTAAACTTCATGGAAAGTTGAGCTTCATCTGCAGGGAGCTGATACCACCTCTGGTGTTAGTCCAGCCTGCCCAGAGAAAAGCTCACATGACATCATTCACAGGGCCTGTTTAAGTGAGCTGAGCAGGGATCCCTTTTCCATGAATCTGTTTAAGCAGAAAGCCTTTATTATATGTTCTGTTACAATCTACCTACTACCTACTTTTTCTTTTCTACAGAGCTCTGTTTGACATATTCCAGAAATTGCATTGTGTAAAACAAAGCCACATTATAGATAAATAAACTGCAAAAGTTTAGAAAAACTGTTCAGCAGCTAAGCTGTTCTTCCTGCTGTCTTGATGTCTTAGCCGCAGGTTTTATTAAGAAGGTTTTAGAGTCTGATTTGATGCAAAACATCAACATATTCCTTATGTCAGGTGTTTTCCCCCACGCCTTAAAAATAGCAATTATCAAACCATTGTTAAATAAAAGAACCATCTCAAACCTCCCATTCATCCATAAAATTATTGAAACATTTGTGTTTCAACAATTAAATGCCTTCTTAACAATGACAAGCTGCTTTGATGTCTTCCAGTAGGGTTTCCGTGCCAACCACAGTATTGAGACTACCCTGATTACGGTATAAATACAGGCTGGTTAAGAATCACAGGGCTGGTATTTATGGACCTCAGTGCAGCATGATACTGTTGATCACTTGCTGGTGAAGGTTCTCAGTCATCCAGGTCACAGTCATTCCAAAAAAAAATAAAAATGTAAAACAATCCACTGGACTTTGTTTCCAAGTTTGAAGACGTTTCACTTCCCATCCAGGAAGCTTTTTCAATTCAAAATGTCAGGAATAGCGTTGAGTTTGATGTTTTATACAGTAGCCCAACAAAGCCTTGTTTTTGTTTTGAAAACATGCAAATTGGAAAAAAGTTTATCACTTGATTTTATTAGTGTCTGAAAAACTGTGTTGGCCTTTCCGGTACAGCACTGGGCTGGTTTAAATCCTACCTGATGGACAGGGATGTCTATGTGTCAGTGGGGAACTTTAAACTAGAGAAAAATCACATGTGGGGTTCCTTAAGGCTCCATTCTGGGGCCCCTCCTATTCAACATCTACATGCTCCCCTTGGTTCATATTATAATCACAACTAGATCAGTTACCATAACAATGCAAACACACAGCTTTACATCACAATGTCACCAGGTGACTATGAACCCATCAGCACGTTAGGTAGATCATCATTTTGTGGATGCATCATAATACAGCTAAAAAACCGCTACTTATGGCTGACATATTGGTTTCATGATGGACTCAGACCTGAACCTTTGGAGGCACAGAAAGACAGTTACTAAATCAGCCTTTTATCACCTGAAGAACATCTCCAGGATAAAAGGACTAATGTCCAAACAGGATCTAGAAAAGCTCATGCATGCATTTATCTTTAGTAGAATTGATTAGTGCAACAGTATCTTCATAGGTTGGCTTAAAAATTCCATGGGACAGCTGCAGCTGATCCAAAACGCTGCTGCCCGTGTTCTCACTAAAACAATGAAAGTAGAGCACATCAGCCCAGTTCTGGAGTCCTTATTGGCTCCTGTAACTCAGATAATAAAGTCTGTAAATCCCTAACATAATCAGCACCTTAAGACATAACAGATTCAGTATCAGTGTATCAACCTCCCAGAACGCTCAGGGCTTATAGTTCCAGCCTACTCTGTACACCCAGAACTAGAACCAAACATGGAGAAGCAGCATTTAGTTCCTATGCTCCACTGATCTGGAACAAACTCCTAGAAGACTGAAAAAGTGCTGAAAAACTGAGTTCTTTTAAAGCCCATTTGTTTAGAACTGACTTTGACTGTTGAAATTAAACAGTTAACTGAGGTATTATTCATTTAAGTTTGTGGCTCACCTGTTGTATTTGTTTTTACTTCCTGCTTTTATCATGTTTTTATTAAAAATTGCTTTTAATTTTCTTCTATTTTATTGTTTAATTTGTGTAAAGCACTTTGAATTGTCCTTCTACTGAATTGTGCTAATAAACTTGCCTTGCCTTAGGAGAATGTTAGGTGCGAGATTTACAGTTTAAATTAGATTGTTCTCCTCGCTCATGGTTCAAAACTGTGCAGAATTTGATACAGCGCCTTAAAGTCACGTACGGGCATATTGATCATTTTGTTAGGTTAACAAATGTGGAGAAAATGTTTCAGCTACTTTTATTGGTTCCGATATGTTTTTAAAAGATTTTTTTATTAAGAAAAGAACTGAAATGGTTTATTCATCTTTGTGCAGAAATGCAAACATACACTGCTGGGCTCAAGTGCAACTGTTAATCAAAGGCCCTGTTTTGAGAGGTCGTAGATACACAAGTGTCTTTGTGTGTTTTTATATATGGCAGCCTCTACAGCTGGAACAGCTGCACTTTCTGGACAGTTTATCTCTCTGTATGAAGCATTTATGTTGGGACTGTCACCTCTGTTCTCAGCCACTGTGCTGCACTGAGTGATGGGGCATAGGTTGGTGGTGGAAATGACCTTTTTAATGCTCCCTTAATCATGCAGTAATACAACATGTGTCTGGAATCCAACAAACAGACCGAGTCGAAGGGACAGCAGAGGTGATTTGTATGGATATCAGAAGAAAACACAAGAGCTTTGTTTATGGCGCGTCGCCAAGCTCCTAAGTGACATCTCTTGGAGGTTTTCGTAGTACCATACTCACAGAAGAACATTTCAAAATATGTGCCATAGGCATATTCAATATAAAGTCCCTGTCTATTTTAGAAAGGCTATCCATTCTCTGGAAGATGTTCATTCTCAGAGATCTGTACGTTGAACTACTATACTTATTGTCTCAATTTCCTTCCCTACAAAGGCTTTGTTTGAGCTTTTTAGCAGAGAACACAGTACGATCACGTTTTTGCACAAACAACTAAAAAGACGGTTACATGAGTGCCATCAACACAAGTCTAGATGGTTTTTGAACAAAAACTGCTAGACTTTAGAATGATGAAAGCTATTTTAATAGATAAAAGACTAGAAAAGATGAGAAACAGATGAGAAACAGTCATTATCAATCAGTCTGGAAAGGGTTAGGAAATGCATAAATAAACCACAACCAGGCCATTTTTCCACTAACAGAAATGTGGAGCAGTAGTTAATCTTCCTAGAAGCTCCCAGCCTGACAAAATGACTCCAAGAGCACCTCAACAATTCATCTGCAAGCTCAAAAAATCATCTACAGCACTGATTGTCCATAAGACTTTAAGGAAAATGTCAGTGTTTATGATTCAACAACAAGAAAACAGAATAAAAGAATGTAAAAGTTGAATATCTGGTATAATTCCACTCTCAGCTAGAAGCTGACCAAAGCAATTACTCATATTGTTGTTTCACATTTTTTCAAAGGCAGTTTTTGACCCTTACCCCAGGCTCACACCGACTCCGGTCTTACCGTTGCGGTGCGGTGGGTGCGGCGCCGCAGTGNAGTCTGTAAATCCCTAACATAATCAGCACCTTAAGACATAACAGATTCAGTATCAGTGTATCAACCTCCCAGAACGCTCAGGGCTTATAGTTCCAGCCTACTCTGTACACCCAGAACTAGAACCAAACATGGAGAAGCAGCATTTAGTTCCTATGCTCCACTGATCTGGAACAAACTCCTAGAAGACTGAAAAAGTGCTGAAAAACTGAGTTCTTTTAAAGCCCATTTGTTTAGAACTGACTTTGACTGTTGAAATTAAACAGTTAACTGAGGTATTATTCATTTAAGTTTGTGGCTCACCTGTTATATTTGTTTTTACTTCCTGCTTTTATCATGTTTTTATTAAAAATTGCTTTTAATTTTCTTCTATTTTATTGTTTAATTTGTGTAAAGCACTTTGAATTGTCCTTCTACTGAATTGTGCTAATAAACTTGCCTTGCCTTAGGAGAATGTTAGGTGCGAGATTTACAGTTTAAATTAGATTGTTCTCCTCGCTCATGGTTCAAAACTGTGCAGAATTTGATACAGCGCCTTAAAGTCACGTACGGGCATATTGATCATTTTGTTAGGTTAACAAATGTGGAGAAAATGTTTCAGCTACTTTTATTGGTTCCGATATGTTTTTAAAAGATTTTTTTATTAAGAAAAGAACTGAAATGGTTTATTCATCTTTGTGCAGAAATGCAAACATACACTGCTGGGCTCAAGTGCAACTGTTAATCAAAGGCCCTGTTTTGATAGGTCGTAGATACACACGTGTCTTTGTATGTTTTTATATATGGCAGCCTCTACAGCTGGAACAGCTGCACTTTCTGGACAGTTTATCTCTCTGTATGAAGCATTTATGTTGGGACTGTCACCTCTGTTCTCAGCCACTGTGCTGCACTGAGTGATGGGGAATAGGTTGGTGGTGGAAATGACCTTTTTAATGCTCCCTTAATCATGCAGTAATACAACATGTGTCTGGAATCCAACAAACAGACCGAGTTGAAGGGACAGCAGAGGTGATTTGTATGGATATCAGAAGAAAACACAAGAGCTTTGTTTATGGCGCGTCGCCGAGCTCCTAAGTGACATCTCTTGGAGGTTTTCGTAGTACCATACTCACAGAAGAACATTTCAAAATATGTGCCATAGGCATATTCAATATAAAGTGCCTGTCTATTTTAGAAAGGCTATCCATTCTCTGGAAGATGTTCATTCTCAGAGATCTGTACGTTGAACTACTATACTTATTGTCTCAATTTCCTTCCCTACAAAGGCTTTGTTTGAGCTTTTTAGCAGAGAACACAGTACGATCACGTTTTTGCACAAACAACTAAAAAGACGGTTACATGAGTGCCATCAACACAAGTCTAGATGGTTTTTGAACAAAAACTGCTAGACTTTAGAATGATGA